CTTGGTAAAGGTGGAGGAGGAGGAGGAGGGGGGGGTGGTGGCATCATGATGCCTGGAAAAGAGTGGTCCAGGTATGGCACTGCTGAGTCAGCAGAAGGAGGGAGTCCTGAGCCAGGCAGGGGTGGTGGGGGTGGCACTCCTGCCTTGGGCATGGGAGTGGCAAGGGAAGGGCCATGGGCTTCAGACAGGGAAGCAGCCGGTTCGGCAGCTGGCAGTGATGGGGGGATGCTACGTGTGGGCTCCAGAGGCAAAGAAGGGGGCTGTTCACTACAAGTCACAGCTACAGTACCGAGAGGCTGATGGGAAGCTGGCATTTCAGTCTCTCCTTCAAATGCAAGGGACAAATTAACTTTGGGTGCTGGAAGAGGTGACTGCGGTGTACTCTCTACTGATCGGCTCGTATCCAGTGGCACTGAGATTAGCTTCGGCTACGTGTGGGCTCCAGAGGCAAAGAAGGGGGCTGTTCACTACAAGTCACAGCTACAGTACCGAGAGGCTGATGGGAAGCTGGCATTTCAGTCTCTCCTTCAAATGCAAGGGACAAATTAACTTTGGGTGCTGGAAGAGGTGACTGCGGTGTACTCTCTACTGATCGGCTCGTATCCAGTGGCACTGAGATTAGCTTCGGTGACAGAACTAAGGAGATTTCAGAACAAAATGTGGGCTGTAGTTCTATAGCTGGCAATTTATGAGTTGGCCCTTCAGTTTTGCCCCCTTCTAGGTGCGGTGGTGGGGGTGGCTGTGGCAGTGCATTGGCTGAAGGCATTGTGTGTGTTAAATAATCCTCTGTTGGTGACGTTTGTACAGATCTTGCTTGCGACACAATCCTGGGTACAGTCTCCTCTTCATTCGTTTGAAGAGTCACACTGCTGAGCTCCCCACAGACCGAATGCGTGTGCTCATTTTCCTGCTCCCTCCCAGCAGTCTGTACCTCAGAAGCAGGAAATTGTTTCTCTAGTTCTGCAATTTTGGTCCTCAGATCCTCAATAGTTTGCTCAAGTTGTTGGATGACACTGGCGCGCTCCTCAGATTTCACCTCAAAATCATCCTTTGAAAGAAAACAAATAATAAGCACAAAAGAGATAACATTCATCACTACATAAAAAATTAAATTTAGATCAATAATATTGGTATTCCAGAGGTTCAGAAATAAGCCAGTTATGACAAGCCTTTAAAAACAGAGGTACCATTTTGGCTAGCTGCATCTTACAGTGAAAGATAGCTTGGGAAAATTACTTGCTTCAGTATGAAACTACTTTCATCAGTATGAGCATGTTTTAGACTACAATTATATTTGTCAAAACCAATAATCAGCAGCAACTCCTCCCTCCTCCCACATACCCTGACCAAGAAAACAGCCAACCACTGAGCACAAGAGCTGCAAGCGTTTGCATACACATGGATATGCAGACACGGCAGTGGGAAGGGTGCTGCGTTACTTTAATTCTGTTAACAGAAAAATACGTTAAATGTTTCTTCAAAGGGATGCACTGTGTGTGACAGACTCGACATACTACTGACCGTTGGGTTTCAATATACACCTTAATGATACAATACAGATTAGGAATGCAGAACATAACAAATGTTCACTTTTTGAAAACACCTAATGTCAGAACAGAGTAATTATGTTTTTCTCCAGCCAGCACACTTGGGAAGGGAAAGTAGTAAGACAAAACTAAGACAGAACTTTCCTCCCACCCAAAATTTGAAACTCCTCTGACAAGTGACAGACTGTGAGTGAGTAATGCTAGAAACGCTTCCTGTCTGGAATGGTTATTCTGTATTTGACAGTTTCCACATTTTTTCTATCTTTCTCTGAAGCATCTGATCCTGCCTGCTGTAGACTGAGTAGAGGAACCATTAACCTTAAATGGCACAGTAATTCCTACATTTCTAAATAAATACCAGTAATCAACTGTACTAGATTTAATGGGTATGTGCTTTTATCAAAAGGTCCCAAAAGAAGCAACCTAGTCCAAAAACAGCCATTTGTGCTTATTCAGGAAAGCTGAACAGGAGATAGGACAGACATGACTTTATAATACAAAATCTTTTAATAAAGATCTTAGTATTTTCTAGTTGCACGCATTTACTTTTTAGTACTTTTTTTTTCTTTATATTTGGAATATTCATCAGCACTTCAAGCATTTAGTTGAAATAAGTTTGTCAATGCAACTGGTTTCCCAAGTGGTTACAGAACAACAGTTATTTAGTGCCTTTCTGTTTCCTTTTATAAAATCATAAGCTTCATGGATGAGACTGTAGGCTTAGTTCATAGGAAATCTTTCAAATATTCAGATTTTACAGGTCTTGTAAAGCAGCCTACAAACAAACATACAATACCTGATATACTAATTGCCTTGATTTGTTTCAGGAAGATGATGTTTTTCATCTTATCCTCTGACATACGAAACATTTAAAAGTAATTTTTCTTTCTGGAAAATGAAGTTGTAACTTCCAGCTGGAGACTACTAATAAAATATATGTTCATTAAAAATTACAAAACTGTTTCTGCACAGAATTGATTTTCAAACGTAAAATTTCAATTTTGTCTTTATCTTACAGTTTCCCAGCTGTCCTAAAGCAATCCCAGAAGTAAAACAGCAACTATGACATTTAAAGACATTATTGTTTGATTTTGAAGCACCTTTATCAAAACATACAACCTCCTACATTGTTCGAACTTTCTGGAACAGCAATTTGAACTGAAAGTTAAGGATTACAACTAGGTCTCCCTACTAAATTTTGAAGAGAAATACAAAACAAGGAAAGGAACATCAAAAAAGTTTTTCAATGAATAGTGAAGGAATTAACACAGCAGACATATTAACAAACAGTATTATAACAAGGAAAAAAGGCTGAAAAAGACATTTCCATTACAGAATAGTCACAGTGCTTCAATCCACTCATTTTGCTCTAATAACTCAATACTTTGTAGCAGCAACAGTTTTGTTGAAGAACTTCATTATAAAGGAGAAACAGACTATTCTATTATCCCTTTGTTTCATCTGCTCTTATTGCCCTACCAGTCACATGCAAATACAATAAGGCCTATCAATTCTTCAAAAGGCAATAGTATCAAAGGAAATGTGTTCCTAGGATTATTAAGGCCACACACCAGTTTTCAGTTAGTTGAGAACAAATCCAGTTTCCCCAGACTAACTCTCCTAAGCTCCCATTTTACACTGTAAGAATACCCCACCAAGGGTTTTATGAGAGATACAGCTTCTCAATTCTATCTGAATTGGAAAATTCATTCCTGCCACAAACAAACTGAAGCCAACAGGATTAGATATGATATTAAATGGTTCTGAAAAGATCTGCCTTAACGATGGCTGATCACAGAACGCTCACTTTTTAAAACTCATTTACTCAGGAGATTGGATTCAACTTTTCACAAGAAAAAGAGGTAATCCTTGAATCCTAAAATTCTACCCGAACTACAGGAAAAACCTAGAATTTACTGTTTTACATGAGAACTTATTCTGTAGACTAAGGAATTTCTTTCATAAGTAGAAGTATTTTTTAAATTACAAAAAAATGGACAGTCAAGTGAGATGATTAAGCAAATCAGATAAGAATCAAAAACGTATTGATGAATTAAAGGGATTTTTCACCCCCTGCTCTAAGGAAAATTTTTTCTGCTGTCCTTGAGACACTGTATTTCAACCAACTTGGTGATTTGCTATCATGTTGTTACCTAACAATCACCAATATATCCAGGTTTTCACAGTAACAGCATATTACGAACAAACAAGACTTTGCTGTGAATGCAGAGCTATTTATCCAGAGGAAATTACATACTTTTAATATATTTGGTTTTAAAAACAAACAAACTAAAACCAAACCAAAGCAAAGCCCCAGTATTTATGTGCTTCAGTAATTATTTTAGATAAATACAGATATTTTTCATTTTGACTTTTAAGATGCCCTCAGACTAGTTTAATTAGATTTCTGTCTTTCCCCTAGCAAGAAGTTTAAAGTCTTCCTCTAGATCAGAAAGGGCTGTATCAAACAAACATAAGCCACAGCACGTTTCCAACATCCTCAACAAGGAAGGAAATCTAAAATGTATATAACTCCAATCAGAAATGAAAATTAGACAGTTTTCTTACAAGAATAAGCAAGAGAAGACTTAATTTTCCACACATATAAAAGATGGTCAAAAGCTGTTGACAAGAACCAGAAGACCCAGATAAAAAAACCACACATAATGAAAAGAGTTCATTTTTAATCCAAAGGACAATTCCACAGCAGAAACCTACGAGGTTTAAAAGAACTATGAGGGAACTCTGTCTTGCCTAGAGTTCTTACCCAGGACCCAGGTACTGTGGAACAGTCTTCTTTCTGTAAAGAAAGAAAGAAAGGTGGAAGCTTAAGCCTTGCTTTATCCAGGTGACCTGAGCATGAAAGACGTGAGTGGGGAAAAATAATTCCAGAGGTGTATGGCTATAGAACAGTGCCCAATATCTCTCAAACATGTTGTACATGTTCCATGTGTAAGGAGTTGGATGCTCAATCTGGGGCTGCCGGTCTGACTGTGTTTGTGTTGCACTGAGAGGCTTGTGTGTGTACAGTAACTAACTGATCTGGGAATACTGGCTTTACTGGGCAAAGATTGTAACACTTTGATCTGCACACATACCAAAAGCCCATATGTTACATTCAATTCATTCCAATCTTGTCATGTTTTCCACATGTGCACATCAGATGTCCAGCATAAAGCTGATCCATATAGACAGAACATGCGCAGGATCTTCAAACATGTAAAAGTTCAGATTGCGGCTACCTCCTCTATCGAGTCTGACATCCTAGTTTCTCAAACGAGTGACTGAAACCTACAAACCCTTCTATAACTAAATCTCCAGGCAGAAAAACACCCACACATCTGTGAAAGTTAGCCCTAGTCTATATGTGTATATATATATACACACATATATCTATGTCTATAGCCTGTATTTATCTCTATCTCAACTTGCATTCACTTATGTACTTTATGAACAGCCATAATGTGTCTTTTTCTTCTGAAAATAAACAGAATGGCAGTTCTTAATGGTAATTTTGGAATATTTGAAAAATAAAGATGTATTACAGTTCAGTTTTAGAAGTTAATGCCTTATACTATTACAAGCCAACAAGTTGCATCAGTAGTTTGATCATTTTCAGCAATTTGTCACTTAGTGTCATGAAATTTCCTCTCTGGGTAGATTTTGTATTTCGATGATAGGATTATACTTTTTTTTTTTTTTTGAAAACCTTAATCTATTAGTTTCTCTATGTCAGAATTCATGAATCTGAGCCTATGCTGCTACCTGATTGCAAGCACGCACAAGGAATAGAAGTATGCAGTTAAACATGATTAAGATGGCAAAATAAGACCCCTCAGGTCTTCCACAAAGTCAACACCTGGTGGTACCAGCAGCATCCAGTTACTTGGAAGGATGCTGTTTCCAACTGCTCTGTTAATAAATGCCTCCTTTCTAATTTTTGAATGCACATGCTCACCAAATGGCAAAAGCAGTGCCACCGTAAGAGTTTAATTCAGTCAGAGAAATGCGATCTCTGTTCAGGGTTTCTCTCTTTAAAGCTATCTCATTTTCAAAGCTACTTCTTGCAACTGCAGATCAACCTTAAGAAAAAGAGACAACATTTTAACAGGCATTTTTAGTACTACAGCGACTGTCAAATGAGAAGTACTGATGGACACTTGATTTGCATTCAAACAAAACAGCATCCATCTAACTAATTCTCATGTTTCACTTAATCCTCAAAGCCCACTGCAGCATTTTAGTTTTACAGCAATTGAAGTTGAGTCACAAGCTGGCAAACTTGCCAACAGCATCAGGGACAACGGCTGAAGGAGTAGAATTCATATTGGATACTAGTTTCTTCCTCAGATTATGAGATCAAATCTTTTTTGAGAAACTTTTATTATACTGAAGGTACATGTACAGGGACAAAGGATATATGTTTTCACAACAGTCCACATTTCTTCCTACAGCCACAAGGAAACATAATGCACAGCTCCCCAAAACAGCACTGAACAAA